CCATCCCATCCCCATCCCCATCCCCATCCCCATCCCCATCCCCATCCCCATCCCATCCCCATCTCCATCCCATCCCATCCCACCCCATCCCCATCTCATTCCCATCTGTATCCCCATCCCATCTTCATCCTCACCTTCATCTTCCTCCCATCCCATCCCATCCCATCCCATCCCCACCCCCTCTTCTCCCCATTCCCATTGTCACCTCCATCTCTCTCCCCGCCCCCACCCCCCGCTCTCACCCATCAGGATCCGCATCTGTTTCTTGCCGAAGATGCGGGAGAAGATGGCAGACACGGTGAGGCCCATTGCGGCGGCGGGACGGACCGGAGGGCCGGGATGGCCGGGATGGCCGGGATGGCCGGGATGGCCGGGATGGCCGCGCCGGGGGCGGCCGCGCTGCGACCCCAACGCCTCCGCGCTCCGCGGCGCCAAAGGCTCCGCCCCCTCCTCAAGCCCCGCCCATACCTCTAGCCACGCCCACAACTAGCCACGCCTCCAATCACCGGGCTCCTCCTATTGCCGCGGCACCGTGCACTACCGGCCAACGCTTTTAGCCCCGCCCCTCGGCTCGCCCTGCTCCGCTCTGACACCTGATTGGCAGCCGCACCTACGCCTCTCCCCGAGCTGTTCTTTTTGCGCATGCGCAGCGCCCTTTTTTTTTTCCCCGCTCTGGGGCGAGACTTAAAGCCCGCATGCTCACTGGGCGCCGGCGGCGGGGGGAAGTAGTTATGCGGCGGGCGGAAGTGGTTAAGCGAAGCGGAAGTAGATGGTTGTGGTCTGCGCCTGCGCGCTGGGTACCAGCACCCGACCCGGTGGTTCGGCCCGAAGGCTGCGGCCTGCCGTGCCCAGGTCCGAAGGGGAGGCCCGAAACCGCCGCCTGCCAGCCCCCCGGCCCGGCCCTTCCTGACAGCGCAGCCCTTGGGCTCCCCCTCCTGCTCTGCGGGCACCCCAGGGCCCGGCTCCCTTCATAGAGCCATGGAGAAGTTTGGCATGAACTTCGGAGGTGGCCCAAGTAAGAAAGAACTTCTGGAAACCATTGAATCGCAGAAGAAGCAGCTTCTGAATTACCAGGCTCGGCTGAAGGACGTGGTGATTGCCTACAAGAGCCTCATCAATGAGAAGGAAGCCTTGGAAGCCAGCTTGAAGGTGTTGTCGGCATCTCACGAGGCTGATGTCGGCCTGAGTGGTGCTCAGCCTGCGCGCGTGGCTGCCTCCTGCGCTTCTCCTGCTGATCCCACTGACGATAAGAGCTCGGTTCACAGCGAGGACAGCATGGGGACGGCGACCAGCGCTGACACGACAGCCAGCTTGGCCAGTGCAAAGGGCGAGCAGGGCGCTGAGGAGGAGAAACCCGCAGCAGCTGCACCCTGTCTTAAAGCAGAAGAGACAAATGGTTCGGAGAGCGGTGTCAGCACGAGCAGCGGGGACGTGGCCTGTGCTGCCAGCGAGGCTGATAGGAGGGTGCTTCAGCTGAAGACCCAGCTGGCCACCTTGACCAGTGCTCTGTCAACGGTCACGCAGGAAAAGTCCCGCATGGAAGCCTCGTACCAAGCCGACAAGAAGAAGATGAAGCAGGACCTGGATGACGCTGTTAAAAAAGCAGAGGATGAGACCGAAAGGTTGGAGGCGGAGCTGAGGTCTGTCCAGGAGCAGCTCGCTGAGACCAAAGCCCGTCTGATCACGCAGCAGCACGACCGAGCCCAGGAGCAGAGCGACCATGCTGTTATGCTAAGAGAGCTGCAGAAGCTGCTGCAGAGCGAGAGGGCATTGAGGCAGGACGCAGAGCTGAAGCTGGAGGAGACCAGGGAGGTGCTGGCAGGACGGGTGTGCATGGCTGACCGTGCGGAGGGCTACGAGCTGCAGATCAAGCAGCTGAGCCAGGAGGTGGAGGACCTGAAGAGAGAGCTGCAGGCTCTTCAGGAGGAGAGAAAGAAGCCAGACCCCCGGGTACAGGACCTGCAGGAGGAGATGGCCAACCTTAAGAACCACTTCCAAGCGCAGCTCCTGCAGGAGATGAGGAAGGTAATTCCCTGATTGAGCCCTAGAGCAGCCCACAGTAGGGGGTACCGTGGCAGCAGCTGGAGGAGGGTTTGAGGCTGGAGGAGCCCAAATTCTCCCTCTTTGCCACATGTCACAAAATCCAAGAGATTTCAGACAGGAGAAAATAGCATAGCTTCATTCGATGGGATGATATTTCCTGAGGAAAATAAAAGCTGTTAGTGATGCAGTGTATAAGTTAACCACAGGTGGTGACCACTGGGTGTGGGAGTTACGTAGTGAGTGTCTTCTGCAGCATCACTTGGCTCTGAGCAGCAGCTGGATTTGGGAGGAGAGACCAATGCTCCGACCCGCTGTGGCAATGAGTGTGCTCTCACCTCTGTAAATGCCATGCAAGGTACAGTTCAGTCCCTCTTAAAGGGAGATAACTGCCACCTCCCCCTGGGTGGAACTGTAATCGGTGAGCGGTGAGGCAGGTGGGCGATAAGGGCAGCCTGCTGTGCGAGGTGCTGGGTTGCACATCTTGCTGCGAGGAGGGATGCAGTGGGAAGGAGGAAGCTGTCACTGCAGGCTGTGAGGCAGAGGGCTGGAGGGCTTTGCTGCCTATCACCGAGTTGGCAGCTGGATGTACTCCAGTGTGGGATCCTTATTTCCCCACGGACTGGAACAAGTTTTCAGCTTTCTAATCTGAAACCTCTTAATTAGCAGCTTTGGGGTGACGGCATGCGATCGACCTTGTTGTGGAAGTGATATCCAACATCTTCGGTAGGACAGGGCTGAGGATGAGCTGATCCCAGCCCTGTTTTGGCTCACAGTGAGGACTGACGAGCGGTGCCACCATTCCACTTGCTCTTGTGATCTTGTGATAGAAGCTGTGAGCTCCAGGTGTTTGCTGCAGCTACTCAGAAACCACTGAATTACGTTAATATTGGTGCACCAGAGCGTAGCGTTTAGGCAAATTGCACTTAAGTGTAGGAAAGCTTTAGGGCACACGCTTTAAAAAAAATCCCACTGCAGATTGTGAGGTGTTCTGCTTCATGCCCTGTGCACGCCTCCAGCGATGCAGATAATGCTGCTAACAGCAGCTCTGTGGAGCAGGGAACAAATGGGGAAATGCATTCAGTTTCTTTCATCCTCGAGTCTCTGTTTTAAAGATGGGCATGAGAGAGTTGTAGGGGGGTGGGGGTTGTTTGGAAAATTAGGAGAAAGCGTGTCCCTGAGCTTGCTTGGAGTTGTTTAGAGCAGAATGAAGGCCTTTGTGATTGCAGAGCTCTGTGCTCTCTTTGCTCACAGACTGCACAGGCAGAGGAGCAGCTCCGGCAGCATGCCCAGATGGAGGAGCAGCGCGTGGCCGACCTGGAGGGACAGGTCTCCGAGGTGTCAGGGCTGCTGGGCACCTACGAGAAGGCCAAGCAGAAGGACCAAATGGTCATCCAGAAGCTGAAGGATCGTATCGTGCAGCTGGACCAGGAGAACAAAACCCTGGCCATCGCGGCCTCCAGCCGATCCCCTGCTGATGTGAGCGTGGAAGAAGCCAATCTGGATGTGAACGTTCTCAAGGATAAGATGGAGAAGCTGAAGAAGCTGCTGCAGGTGGCAGCAAAGAAGAGTCAGCCCACGCTGGACATTGAGAAGCTGTGTGAGCTGGAGCTGCCAAAGGGCACCGAGGCCGGGGATGGCGAGAAGGCCACAGCTTTGTACTATCAGCAGGAGCTGAAGCAGCTGAAGGAAGAGTTTGAAAGGTACAAGATGAGGGCGCAAGTTGTTCTCAAGAACAAGTCAGCCAAAGATGGCAATCTGGCCAAAGAACTGGAGGAAGCTCAGGAGCAGCTTGCTGACCTGAAGGAGAAATACGTGGTGCTTCAGCTGTCCTCCGAGGAGGTGGAGAAGCAGCACCAGCTGGACATGGAAGCCAAGAAGCAAGAGTTCTCCCAGCTGCAGCAGCTGCACAGGCAGGAGCTGGAGCGCTGCCAGTTGGAGTACAGGGAACGGGCGCTGAGGCTGGAAGAAGAGATGCACAAGCAGAGGGACCGGGCGCTGGCGGTGCTGGCCGAAAAGGACCAAGAACTGGAGCAGCTGAGATCCGTCGTGTTGCCTTACACCGGGCTCCAGGGCTCCAAGAACTACATGGCACCAGGGACTGACGCTGCGAGCGCTGACCCCCCGGCTAACGGCTCCACAGAGATCCTCCCCCAGGCTCTGCACCTCTCCACCAACGCAGAGCCCACCTTCATCCTGTATGCGGAGCAGCTGGCCCGCAAGGAGGTGGAGATCGTGGCGCTGAGGAAGCAGAAGCACAAGCTGGAAATGCAGGTTCACCAGCTCCAGGAGAAAGTCTTGGTGGAGGAAGAGAGGCACCGGGAAGAGGTGTCGGCACTTCAGAACGAAATCCAGAAGAACTTCAGAGATAAGAGCAGAGAAGGAGCCAACCTGGAGTACCTGAAGAACATCGTCTATAGGTTTTTGACGCTGCCGGATTCCCTCGGCCGCCAGCAGACTCTCACTGCCATATTGACTATTCTGCACTTCAGCCCAGAGGAGAAGCAGGCTGTCAGAAAGCAGTCAGCACACAGCAGCTGGTGGCTGTCGGGGAAGAGATGAGGCGGTTGTGGTTATCCCTCACTGCTTGTGTCTGGGAACAACCTTTCTGCTGAGCTCTCCTGCCGTGTGGGGCAGCTCCTCTCCAGCAGCAGCAGAGCAGGGAGCTCTCAGCACAGAGCCGTGCTTTGAGCTGGTGCTGTCAGCACGGATTTAAAGCAGAATTGTGCCAACCCCTCTGGTAGGATCGCATCGTTCTCCTGCTCTGAGCTGGAACTCGATTATTTTTAAAGAATAATCAAGTTGGGACTCTCTTGGACAGACCAGGAACTCCCTCCCTGCTTCCCTGTGTTTCCCAGGGAGGATGCTCTGAGCCCTGCAGCTGCACCGGAGCAAGCAGTGCTTCCCCTCTGGTTCTGTTAGGGCAGAGACCTCAGCTGCTGGACCCTGCAGAGATGAGGGAAGGCTGAAGTCAGCACCGACTGCTCAGCTGACGTTTGTGAGCCAAGTTGGGGAGTTTTGCTGACCTGCAGGATGTTCTGCAGCGCCCTGGGAGCAAGGCATGGTCTCATGGGGGTGGAAGAAGCAGAGGTGAGGGGCGGAAGGTGGCAGCTCAGGGAACAGCGTGCTCCCTGGTCTCACTGCTGTCTGTGGGATGCAGTAAGCACTGCTGATAGACCTTGAGGTTATTGCATCAGTTCAGTGCGAGCCTGGAGCTCCGTGCTGCTCAGCCCTGACTTGGGGAAGACATCTGCACACCAGGTTTTGAGCCAGGTCTGTGTGTTGGGTGTGGACAGGCACGGTGGGAAGAGTCTGTGGGAGCAGCAGAAGCCACAGCTCAGGCAGTGTTTCCTCACCAACAGGGAAAGGGGCAGCCCTGCAGCACAGGAGGGTCCTCATGCTGCTGTCAGCTCCTTGGAGCTCTCACAGCACAGTTCCTCCCTCTGCTCTCTCACGGCCCCCCTCCTGACTCCCCTCCATCTCTCAGCCCTTCCTGCATATTTCTCCCTCTTTTCTCTCTTTATTCAGCCATCACCCTCCAAAATAAACTTGAACATGTACGTATTTGATGCTTAACTTGGCTGCTGTTTGGGAACCTATGGTTTGAGTGGTGAGCATTGTGCTGGGACAAGGAGGGGGGAAAATGGCTGTAAGTTAAAAGAGAGGAGACTGAAGTTAGATGGGGAGGTAATCCTTCATCCAGAGGCAGTCTGGATGCCCCATCCCTGGAGGTGCCTGAGGCCACAGATGGGGCCCTGGGCAGCTTGAGCTGGGAGGACACCCAGCCCACAGCAGTGCCACCTGTTTGGTGGCCACTGGGACTCCCCCACCACCAGGAATGAGCAAGGATTGAGTCATTGAACGCACCACCACGGAGAAACAGTGCTGGGGAGGATGGGGACAGGGGTCCCATAAGGTTCTCTGAAAGCTGGGGTGCAAATCTGGACCTCCAGCGAGGGCATGGCATGAGGCGATGGCACACAGAAGCTGTTAGGAAAGTGAAGATGGTAATTGTGGGCAGCTGGTTGCAAGAAGTGTGCTAACTGCCCTCCTTGGGAGGAGCACAAAGCTGAGAACGCAGTGTTGAGGGGGAAAAACACTTGTGAACACGAGGATCTTTGTGCTGCTGCAGAGCAGGATGAGGAGCTGGGGCTGCTGAGCGCCACAGGGTGCGTGCTCACGCACTGCCCAGATTAACAAGCAGAATAAATTCCATTTGGAGCTGCAGTAGCTATTGCCATTCGCACACCTGGAGCTTTGTAGGTGAAGGTCTGTGTGCAGGACATGGTGACACACAGCAGATGGGAGCTGTGCTGGTTCCACATGGGGCAATTCTACAGAAACAGCCCCCGAAGGGACAGAAGCTCCATGCATGAACTGAGCATCTCTGCCCAGATTCCTCAACAAATTCATCTCAGACCCAAAAACCAAGAAACAGCTTGGCTCAATTCTTTTTTAAACTATTATTTTCTACTATACATCAGTGCTTCAGTCCACCACAGTCACTGCAGAGCTATCACAGCAGCAACACACGCACAAACTATGTACACAATATACACTGTACAGGGAGGGCTGCTGCTAAGGAACGTGGCACAAAATGCTACGGGGGGCAGCACGGCCAAGGCTTTGCTCCTTCCAGGCTGAAGGCAGCAGGAAGAGCAGCCATATTCCCCTCTGTGCTGTCCCACAGAACCTCCACCACTTGCTGAGATCGCCCCAACTCTCTGGGCTGAGGTTGAAGAAGGAGGCAGCTCGCTCCACGCGAGTGCTCAGCACTGCCAACAGAGAGCTGCAGCAGCTCTGCACGGTGTGAGCGCTCACCTCTGCTCCTGGGGTGGGAAGGAGTGCATCAGGCTGCCCAGCCCATCCTGAAAAACGTTCTGCAGGCACACCAGGGCGCTGGATAAAGTGGCAGATGGTGGAATGCAGTGGCAGCAATCGTGAGACTGCCCGAATCAGATCCTGCACCGTGTTTTAGGTCAGCAAGCGGGCTGACCGTGTTAAGACATACCTTGCTGCCCAAGGCACAGCTCCAACTCTACATGTTACCATACTCGATTTTTCCAAGCAGAATAAATTCCAGTTGGAGACCAGCTCCTCTCTGCAGGGCTGTGCCAGCTGATGCCATTCACACAGTGCACACCTGCCCTCTCCGGAGAGCTCTGCTCCTTGCAGATGCACCAGCCCCATTTTTTTTCCTCTCTCTTTCTCTTCGCCTTGAAGAAAAAACAACGTTCCATGTCCAGCAATTCAGCCTCCCACTCCCATCACAGCTGAAGCTCTCGCTGCTATGAGTCAGGCTGTTGAATGGGCAGCAACACTTCTTTTCCCCCCAGCATCCCTCTCATCACCAGCAGGAGCCGTCCTGAAAACAACTCCCCCACACAGCGCTGATCCCACTTCTTCCAGGCAGGATGACGGCACTGAAATTTTGAGAGCCCAAGCACTAGACAAAGATGGATATGTGTATATATGGGCAAAACATGTTTTGCACAGCCTATCGCATGCTGCTGAAAGCCTGGCTGCCGTTTTCTGACCTATTAGCAGCCACGCCACGGAAACTGTTTTTCATTTACGGGCCCCTAAATCCAGCTCCTTGCAGCAGGACGAGGCAGAACAGCACACGTGGTTTCCCATTTCTGCTCCAGTTCTGATCCGTGAGCTCAGAAATCAAACACGCTCCTGAGGAAGGTCCTGGCAGGGCCACAGAGGCTGGATCAGGGAAGAAGTTTTCTTTCCAAGCGTGACCGCAGCTGCTGCTCTCAGCATGGGAGGGCCCTTCTTTCTGCAACAGCTCCTCAGGGCACTCAGTGGTGGTGCAGCACGGCCTGCAGATCTTCAGGCAAGGAGTCAATGATGGTCTCAATGTAAAGGCCCACACGCCGCAGGGTCTCCTCCTTTACGGGGAGGTGCTGGCACCTGGCTCTCACCTGCAGGGAGGGAGGAAAGGGGAAATGAGGAGACCTGAAACAGCTTCGTGTCCTCTTTCTGCTTTGGCGTTGGCTCAGCAAACCTCACGCTGTCTCTGCAGCGGGGCTAAGGGAAAAGAGATGGGAAGCTGCCAGCTGGGGCTCAGGCCGACAGAACGAGACAGAACTTGGAATTCTCTCGCAGGCAACCTCTAAGGATCACCACTGTCCCGTTTGCCAGTCCTCCAAATGAGGGAGGAAGAACAAAGCTTTCTAAGCATCAGCTGCAATCTACACCCCCTGGTCGCTCCCTGCCACAGGGACACAGGAAGGAACGAGTACAGGAAGAGGGGAGGAAAACCTACCAGCTTCTCACGGAGTTTTAGCACCAGGTCTACGATCTCCACCTCTGACTTGTCCTTCATCCATGCCACGATGTTCTACAGAAAGAGAAGAACAGCTTCCTTCAGAGCCATTTCTTCTTTACAGAAACTTTTCTCAGAGACACCCCTAAGCAAAGCCTGAAATAAAAGCGAGGAGGAGGTTTCTCATCCTCTTTCATAACTCTGCTCACAGCACTTAAGCCTAAATGAGCAAGACAGAGCTCTCCCCACTTTTCTGCCCACGACAGCATCAAGCTCTTGCCTGCAAGAGAAGAATCAAGGAAAGATGCAGCAATACGCAGATGGTGCAGGGCTCCCCTCCTCCAGTCAGCACTCTGCATCTCGTGCTGCGCTCAGAACTTACATCTATTTGCCAGAGTCAGGCCTGTTAAGAAAGGAAACAGCTTTGGCATTCCCACACCACGCTCGAGGACCTGCACAGCTAACCGGTGAAGCAAGCACTGCAGCTGAAGGTGCACTGGGAGGGATGCCAGAACTCCTGGGGTGATCCCTGCAGCAGCTCAGTTTTAGAAATTGCACCAGCGATCACTGCTAAAATTCCTACCTATTTTCAATAGGCATTTAAGGGAGCCAGCAACAGATGACGTTTCCAGTCTGGGTCTCTGTTGGCTTGGGAAGGGCCTGATGAATGAGAAACAGTTGACAGGAGCAACCAGAGCGGGTTTGCGCTTGCTAAGCAAGTGGGGCTGCTTGGATAACAGCACTTGTGGGGAACGAGGGCACCTCTGCACCCAGGCACGAGGCAGCCCTGTGCTTCCCTTGGGCACCAGGCACCGTCCCCACTCTGCCAGAGAACCAAGAGGCGTCGGTGAACATCCAAGGAGCGTTCTCATCTTCCAGGTGTCGGGCCTGAGAATTCCAGCCCTGGTTTGAACACGAGCAGCTGGCACGTACCGCTTCACAGATGGCCTCCAAGTGAAGGGCTTCCAGCTTCTGGGTCATTTCCTTGTGCCTCTGACGGTACCAGCCATCAAAGTTGGGAGACCTGAAGAAACGCCTGCAGAAAGCAAGGTGACAGTGAGAAGGGGACAGGAGGGATCCCAACAAGTACAACACTGGCTCCACATTTCCCTTCCCGTGCAGCAGACGCAGGCATTTTGACTTGGTGTCAACTGCTTATGAGCTAATGAGCTCTTTTCTCATCTCCTCTTCCATCAGGCATTAGCACGATGCAGCCTCAGCGGATCGTCACCAACAGAGGGACGGTCCTGCCAGTCTCACACCTTCCTCTGCATCAGCTCAAGCCTGAACCGATTCAATAAGCACTGCCCTTTGCCCTTCTTGTTTATCTATAACCCCTTTTTTGGTGGACAACCAGGATGGCCCAACCACAGGAAGAAATTCACGTTCCTCTGCAGTATCTGGCTCGATTCCCCTTCTTTCCTGACATTGAAAGCTGTCAGACACTTGCTGGCACTGACCCGAACCCCAAATAATTGCTCTCTGCATCTCTCCCACATAAGCAAGGTATCACCCAGGCGATGACAAAGGATGTGCAATTCCTGCCTCTCCAGCATGGTGCAGCAATAAACAAGTTTTCACCGGGCTACACAGGGAAGCAGACAGGGCAGCATTACTCCTCCCTTCATCTCAGAGCATTAGAGAACTTCAGAACAAAACCAGTTCTCCTTGATGAAAGCTATGGGCACACTTTCCCACACGCTATCCTAAATCCTACCCTAAAAAAATCGTCTTTTACGTGCAAGCTGCCTTGCTGGTTTGCACTACAAACAAAGCAGTACTGAATGCTGTACCAAAGTGTACAACCACACACCTTCCTGCTCCACCTGCCAAGGGTCAGGCACTTAAAAAGGAGACATTCCCTGGAAGAGAATGAACTACACAGCTGACAGCAAAGCCAAGACCCCTTGTTCCCCATCGGTGAGAATCCAGGTGTTCTTCAGTTCTCCACCTTCAGGTTTGCAGGTCCTAAACCCAACTGGAGCTCCATATTTCGGAGATTACAATTAAGAAAAGATTGATTTCCAGGCTGGATGTGGTTCTGGGCAGCCTGGTCTGGTGGTTGGCTAGACCAGGGTTGAAACCAGATGATCTTTGAGGTCCTTTCAACCCAGGCCGTTTTATCATTCTATGATTTGACTCTGCGTTCTGCTCTTCCTCACCAACACCAACCAACTCTTCATAGGAATGAGTTTTTCTTGTCTCTGTCCCCCAAATCCCCTTTTTGTTCTCAATTCCAATTCAGGATTTGACGTTCATTATAAACTGCACCAGCTGTTCAGGAGATCGTGTATGCAATGAATGAACTCGTACCTGTAGAGACCCAACCAGTCACCCTTAAGGACACAGGTAAGCTGGGGGCCAGCGTGCTCCAGGGTCTTCATGAAATCATCTTGTCGGAAAGGACGAATCTGTGGGGGATTCTGTGCAACAGAAGGACCACATTACACCCCCCCAAGAGAAACCAGGGGAAATCAAGCTCTGTATCTGCAGCACAAGGGGCTGCACAAGACAGATTCAAAGCTGTAACTCAAGAGACATTAACATCTGAACCAGCCTTGCTAGCAGAATTCAGATCAGGCTCACAGTAGCCGAGCTTACTGCAAAACAGGAAGCATCTGTCCTCGTGTTTGTTTCAACTTTTTTTTAACCCTCTTCCTTTAACGAGGGAAGTTCACGCAGTGTATCAGAACACACAATCAGCATATGGCAGAGTCATAGCCAGTGGAAAGAAAGCAGAAGGCTCTGAAGGTTGAACTTACTTTCCACGGAGTAATGGCCCTCTGCAGAGGCATCAGACTTGCAATATAGTGCTCCTAAAAACAAACAAAGAGACGAACAGGAAGATGTTACGACCATCAAGGAGCCTCTTGCAGGGTCACTGAGAGTTATGGGCTTCTCCAGCGCATCGCAATCCCTGGCCTCCTGCTCTCCCCTTTTCCTTTATAGCTGCATTTTACATGAGCCTAAGCACCCCAGCCTGCTTCCCACCAGGGGTCGGGTCACAAAACCACACGCTGCAAGAATCCTACACAGGACACAAGAAAAGGTCAGGTGGGAAGAACTGTGGCTTGGGTTGGAAGGGACCTCAAGCATCAGCTAGTTCCACCTTTCCTACCACGGTGGCAGGAAGCCCTAAAATCTCAGGGGGTGATCTGTTGTCTCATTTACTACACCTTATGATGATGTAGAAGAGAAAGTGAAGAAGCCAGACACGTGCAACTGGATGGTCACCAATAAAGGACTACAGGCTCTCTAAGGAAACCAGCTCAGGAAGCCCTGAAAGCAAGCACTGGTTACAGCAGTCTGCCTCAAGGGGAACAGTCACCATGTGGACAAGCTCCTGAGCTGCTCAGCAGGGACCTCTTCACACAGGCATAGGTTTGACTCTAGCACTAAGAGGAAGGTTTTGGGCTCACGTCTCTTCATCACTATTTATCTGCTTTGACTGCCTGGGGAAAAGAGCAAAGATTTGGCATTAGAATCAAATCATGGCGGGGGGGGGGGGGGGGGAGGTAACTATTTCTGCACTGCAGCAACAAGCATTCTGCCTTCACACGCGACGTGCCACATACTCAACCTGCAGACTTTCATGCTAACTACTGAAATTCTCAATCAAGAGACGTTTTGCTCCATAGGAAGGAGCTAAATATCTCCCCAGTGCCACATCCTGAACCTAATACAGGCGAATCAAAGAGAGCAAGCGCCAACTTGTCACTTCAGCAAGCATCCCACTCCCTCCCTTTGCCTTCACGCCGCCCTGACGAGTCCCTGCCCAACTCACCAGGGGAATAATGAAGCTCTGGGTGAGCTCCAGGAGGTGCCTCCTCAGAAGGGCACTCTGCACTTCAGACGGGCGTTTCCGCTGGATGCCCTGCGAGCAAAGCAGGGCGTTCACAAAGATGCTATGCTCTGCTATGCAGATAGACACAGGATCTGCAAACTCTGCAGCTAGAAGCAGCCAGTCCTGAGCATTTTGGAAAGCGCGCTGCCCAGAAAACATATCCTGCTCCCTGGTTCAAGACAACACTCGTGTTACATAGAATCTGTTTCTGCAGACTCTTTGTTCAGTAAGGATTATCCTCACTCAGCTTATCATCTCTGCCAGCCTTTAATCTATGGTATCAAGTGAAGAACTTGAAAGCTGGCCTGAGAAAGGCGTTCAAGTGCACTTGACTCGAATCATTAGGCACTTAAGTCAAGCTAAAGATAAATCTGTTGCTTGTGGAGTTCTGTCTGCTAAGCCGAGCTGCCAGCAGAGTTTTCCCACCGCCTCACGCATGATGTGGAGCAGGGCTGGAGCTGCTCACCTTTAACAATCTTTTTATCAGAGTTTTGTCTTTGTGAAGAAACGTTTTGTAAGAAGTGTAGATTCCTAGGTTGGAAAAGAAAGCCATGTTAGAAACAAGCTTTTGCCCACAGATCTCGAGGAGGCACCATTACGTGGCGCAGTGAAGTCTCTAGCACTGTCTGTGTGTGTCAGGGGGTTGATTGTAAACATCGTATAAAATTCATTACAAAAATTACAGCATTGCTCACGCAGCCAGTGCTCACAGCAGCATCGCTGCGTTACCTCAGGGACCTTCTTATCCTGTGTTTATGGTGAGATAACTCACTGAGGCCTGACACGAGCAGCAAGTGAACTGACAAGGGCTGCATCCAGCTGAGCGAGTTCCTTTGAGTCCCACCACATCTTAGAAGCGGACAGGATACGTAAAAGCAAGAAAATTAAGAGTCTGCTCCCCAGCACCAAAATAATTAGCCTCAATTAATGTAAATTGTCTTTTTCAATCTCAGAACAAAGATGTACAGCTCTTTTCTTTATTAGCTGGGGGACGCCCTTACAGAGGGCCACGTAGCAGATGGAGCAGGAGGACACCAAGACGTCCCACTTATTGTGATACCAAAGGCGTGCGATGCTCATGTCTGCAAAGCCACTAAAATCCCCCGCCTGGGAAGGTAGGTAGAATTAAACCACAAGAGGACATACCTGGTTTTGTGTCTAGGGTTTTTAGTTTAGTTAGCTTCTTCACCTTGACTTGCTTGGGCAGGTCACCTGGGGAGGGACAGGAGAGAAGTTGCTCAGGTTCTGATCTCCTCTCACACATACAAGAGATTGCACACTTGAGAATGTGTGTGCTAAGCTTATGTATCACAAACCACATCCTCTCCTAGCACCGTCCTCACATAAGCTTTCTCACATGCCAGCTTTCAGGCTGGAAGTTTGGACTGGGAACGTGTTCAGGAGGCACTGCAAAACAGCCCCACAGCCACCACTGCGGGCTGCTCAGCCCAGAGTGCAGCAGTTTGTTGCATTTCAGAGAGTCTCTCCTTCTACCTTTCTTGCCTATGGAATTTTCTCTTCCCTACCCAGCTGCTCTCATTTTCTTCACGCTTCAGAAGAAAAAACCCAGCAAGCTTTCCTCTCAACCATTCATCCTCACCAAGTTCACGCTCACCTTGCGCATCAGCTGCCTCAGTCCAGCCTTCCCTTCAGTTTCCCAGCTCTCACAAGAATGCAGATGTGTGAAACGATGGCTACAACTCCCTGCCAGCCCCAACAAGGCACAGCAGCACAACAGGACGCGGTTCCATCCTTACCTGACATTTTGAGCTCCCCAACCCGAAGGATGTGTGGCCAGTGCTGGAGTGTTTTGATAAAGAAAGGGTTCGTGACTCCCACAACAATGTTTGGCCTGGTAAGAAGGGAAAGAGCACGGAACGACGTTACCCTCAGGGCTTCCTCCAGGCACACAGCTGCAAGTGGGCAGCATGGGGCTGTCAGCTACTCACGGGGCTTGTGTCCTGGTGGTGTATTCCTTAAATTCACTGTCATGGATCGTGAAATAGGGGCGGTAGTCGCAGCAGTACCTCAAGGGAGCCAGGCAGCTGTAACAACAGACAGAAGAGTTGCCATCGAGGCTTCATGAATGGGGAATGAGTGCTTACATATCCAAGAGCGGCGTTCGGTCCTGCCATCCAAAGGGCTCAGATGTTTGGGTTTTTTTTTTTGGCTAGAGTTCAAAGCTGGGGAGAGAAAGCTCCTCAGGGCCGTGACCCATCAGCAATCCCAACACCAGGGACTCCCTTTCCCTCTTCTCTGCTGTTGGTGGAACACGAACAAGACTGTCTTGCTGTGCTAATTCTTCTCTTACGTGCTTTCCACAGGCAAACTCAACCTAAAGGCAACTGACCTCCCAGAAAAGCACGTCTGAAAAATTGCCAGATGTTGGTGTGATCGTTGTCTGTGTCTCCAAATGAGGTGTTACCTGGTGAGAGCCAGAACCATTTCAGAAGAAACTGTAGGGGATGGTGCCATCACCACAATTGGCTCCCCCAGCAGCATCAGCTCCCATAACATCTGGACGTGAATCAGCACTGGCTGGAAACACCTGTTAATGGCAGGAAGAATGAGAAGTGGAATTTAGAGAGGCAGCTCAGAAAAGACCAGACATTATTATCACATAACCAGATGTGCCTCCGGGCATTTGAAACCTAGGACTGATTTCTTGCATCCCACAACAGAACGTTGTTTGCACAAGCCACAGCTCAACCACCTGATATGGATGTACAGGAAATGCTTTGAGCCACGTCAAGCAATTGATTTCAGTATGGCTTTTCATCTAAGCAAAATAAAATGCTTACACAGATGTAAGCATGCATTAGGATAGCACCTACAGTGTTGAAAGCTTTGGCTCAGATGCACGGGGTGAATACTTCAGTGCTTAAGCTGAGATCGAGAAGAGAAACTCTCCTCTAACAAGAGCAGCAGTAGATGTGAGAGGGACCCTCCCTCCCTCTGATCTACAGCATGCTGTGAGCAGGAGGGACACAAAGCAGATGGAGAGGAGGGGGCTGCAGGGACAGTGGCTCTTACCTGAAGAGATCCAGTTCATGAACACTTGGGAGAACCAGTGGGGCTGGTAAGAGATTCTAAATGAAAAACAAAAAACAAACAAATCTGACTTTGCTGTTAAATGGAAACGTCCTGATTAAAATGTCATCTAAACTGATGCATCAAAACAGCTCCTTCCACAGTAAGCCCAAAACTAAAAGAAGGATATCAATGCTTGGAGATATGAGCCAGGAACAGATCTAGATTGGGCGTTCCAGGTTCAAATGAATTTCCTTTCTTAGATGAGAACTGAGAATCCCTTCTCTCCAAGGGCCTCCTCCATAACTACTCCTTTACTTTCTGGAGCTTCCCCTGGCTGAAGGCAGAGCACAGATACAGACATAGATACAGGCACAGGCAATAAGTGCTGGAAATATGGCTACCAAAAGTCCAGAACTGTGTAATAGACAGACAATAACGTTATTCAAAGGAGAGAGGAGAAATAAAATGAAAAGATGAGATGAACAGGAATCAAAATCGAAGCTGAACCAAAGCAGTAAAGGTGTTCAAGCTGCAAGCACTACGAAAACAGCACAGAAGGCTACAGCAGAGTTCTGCAAAGAGCCACCCATGCATTCATGCCCAGGAAAGAAAGTGAACAAAAGCTGTGGAAGCAACAGCTCGTGCATAACTCGAAGCACTGTGCAGAGTCCTGTTCTCAAAGACACGGACAGGAGAGCACGCAGTCTGCTCCACATGGGTTACTCAGACTGAACTGATCCCACACCAAAATGGTTTCAGATGGGACAAGGCTCTCAAAGAGTTGCAGTTATTCTTTCTTATTCTTTCTTACTCTTCTAGTCCTTATTCTGCCCATCAGTGACTCGTGCCATGCCACACTTCATCTTACCTCTTGATTGAACTGCTTCACTGGGCTTGATCCTGGCTTATCCACCCTGGATGGGATTCTCACCTAATTAAGAACAAATTAATCAGGGAGACGGAACGAGCACGCACACACAATGTACTTTCTTCCCTAATACCCACCCTCATGAAAAGCTTTCTCAATTCCCAGTTCTAATTGCACCGTGGTTATGAGTAAAGAAAAGAACCTAGAGCCAACAGCAGCATTAACACCCAGGAGGAGAGGAAGCAGACGTTCCCCTTCCCAGTTTGGCCCAGTCTGCTGCTGAGCATCATTCATAGCAGCTCGTACCTGAATGACAACCCCCATCACTGGGAGGTTCAGCGTCTGTCCCGGCACCGGAGGCGGCCACTGGTCGATCTCATTGCACACTGCAGGGATGCAGACAAACAGAATGCTTTGAACAGGAGCTCAGTGCAGCTCATTCAGTTGGCCCTGCGAGTTCTGCCCGTTTCTTCTTGCTCCCTCCCGCTTCACGCGTCCCCACGGCGAGCTGCAAACCAGCCCTACATCAAATAACTGCTCAGCTTTAGGATCATAGAATCATAGAATCACCAAGGTTGGAAAAGACCTAAAAGATCATCCAGTCCAACCGTTCACCTATTCCCAATAGCTCCTACTAAACCATGTCCCTCAACACAACATCCAGCCTTTCCTTGAACACCCCCAGGCTCAGTGACTCCACCACCTCCCTGGGCATCCATTCCAGTGCCTGACCACCCTTTCTGACAAGCAATTCTTCCTCATGTCCAGCCTGAATCTCCCCTGCCGTAGCTTGAAACCATTCCCTCTGGTCCTATCACTAATGACACCAGAGCAGAGGCCGACCCCCAGCTCACTACAACCTCCCTTCAGGAAGTTATAGAGAGCCTCCCCTGAGCCTCCTCTTCTCCAGGCTGAACATTCCCAGCTCCTTCAGCCTCTCCTCATCAGCCCTGTGCTCCAGACCCCTCACCAGCTTTGTTGCCCTCCTTTGAACCCGTTCCAGGGCCTCAATGCCTTTCTTGCAGTGAGGGGCCCAAAACTGGACACAGCACTCGAACTGGACACAGTACTTTAGGACAGATGCTGGATTGATGCCTGCAGCACTGCTCCCACTGCACAGCCAGCAGCACTGCACTGACAACAGAGCATCATTAAGTCAAACAGTGCAACAGAAGGCCTGAACAGAGACGTCGCATGAGCAAACGTTGCCCCTCTTTGGGAATACATTGGATGCACAACTGACAACATCGCCTATTAGGATTGTCAGACACTTCCCATTCATGCATCCTTTACAGCTGTTTATCATTTTGGCAAGGCAGGCATTTGGATCAAAGTCTTTTCCCTGTCGGAATTTGTTTCAGAACGGATTAATTTGGAGCATTTCAGCTGTCTTTCAGGAACCTCCCGATAATAAGGCTGAAAGATTTCAATATGCCAACTGCTCCCCATCAATCTGATGGCTCACCTGCCTCCAGGCACGGCTCCAGTTTATCAAAGTACTCCGGAGCAATCAGCTGCAGCAACGACTGGAACAAGTTCACATACGGAAGGTGTGACACCAGCACCAGAGACTGGGGGGGAAAAAGGACATTAGGAGTCAGAGCCACCATGCTGTGGCCACTTCTGGCACAGTATATTGCCTGTGCTGCTTCCTAGAGGGCTCTGCTTGAAAACCAACATCATGAGAAATCAGAAATGGATGACGTTGAGTAAAATCAGCCAGATCTCAACTGTGAAATGCAAAAGAGCAGCCACCACCTCTGCGAAAACGAAAAGCCTCCGGGCCAACAACAAAGCTCTGGCTCAGGCTCTGCAGGAAGAAAAGCTCAAACTGAGGGATGCTCGAGCTCTTATCCTACAGCTAAGGAAAGTGTATCAAGATCTGAAGATTCAGATGTTTGACTTGAGAAGAAATCTTGCATTCAGGCAAGCCCAAGGACTGGTTGAGACTAGACTGTCAGCCTTGAGTGAGATCATTTCAAAAGGAGCTCCAAAGCAGCACTGTGCCTGGTAGAATTCCTCCCAGCTGAGCCTTCGAGGAGTTTCCTCATAAATAAGCACAGCTGACAGCTTCTGGAAGGGAGCCGCTGCAAGTGAGATGGCACAAGTTTGTGACCTAGCAAAAAAAATCAACTGTAGGAGAAAATAAATGGCCAAGAGGTTCAAAGCTACCAAAATAACCAGAGCGGAGAGAACAGAGCAAGAAGCAGACGGTGGAAACTGAAATGAGGCAGACAAACAAAATAAGGGAATGCTGGGGAGGAAGAATGACAGAACCATTTGGGTTGGAAAAAGACCTGCAAGGTCAAATGCAAACATCCACCTGACGCTGCAAGTCCTGATACCCCACCTCAGTCTGCCCTCCTTCACCTTCAGACCATTTCCCCTCGCCCTGCTATCATCCACCCTTTCCAAGAGTCGACTCCCCTGAAATTCTGCCCCATTTCCAATCTAAATCCCCCTGGTGCCACACGAGGCCGTTGCAGAATATTGACGACGCGTTTCCAGCAGTGATTTTGCGGTGGTTGTTGCTGCTTTTATTGCTGTGTTTGAAATACACGTGTATTTCACGTGGGTTTTGTTGTTGTTTGTTTTTTATAAGCATCTTTTCCAATTCAGTCCCACTGGGTTCATTCATCACGACTCTGATGATCCTCCACCTCTGATCGGTACAGAACGCGCTGTTCAGGATGCAAGGAGTGTTTCAGCAACGCTCATCCCAACACCTCATTTCTGAGCCAGGGCTTTGCCACTCAAAATCAAGCAAGCCATCCAAGCAGGACACTGAGTTTCACTGAGGAATTCTACCTGCCCTCTACTTCTGAAAGCCTCTAAGAGACCAAGTGCATGAGCCCACGTTATGAAGCTTCCCACTTCAACAACTTTTAAGGCAATCCATCTGCTGCTTGGCTGCAGATAAGGAATCTGACTTCTATATTGGAGCGTTTCTTCAAAAGAAACTTCATGTCACTGCTTGCAGGAAGCACAGGGACAGATGGAGCCCCGTTGCAGGTGCTCAAAGTCCATCTCTTGTGAGGTGAAAGATCACTCCTGAAGGAGTATTTCTGTGGATCCACAGAGGAAACAGTGCATCTTCAGATCAAAGCATTTTCCCTCCCTGGGGAGAATCTGCAATCCCACTCTCTCGTGCAGTTACTGTACTGATCTGCATGAATAATTCTAAGCACACCTATACCAAAATACAGGTTTACATTCATATATATTTTTTTTCCATTGTCTGTGTTAAAGGAGTTTCCGCTGAGAGATGAGGCTTGTGAGGTAACAGCAGCATCACTGCCACCAGCAAGAAGCAGTCAGCACAGCAGCAGCCCGTTCCCAGATGGCTGCCAGGGAGGAGAAAGACCAGTCAGAGCAGGGTTGGGGTTTAACATCACAGACAGCACTAGCTGAGCACGTCCCCTCTCTGTCTGTAACACTAAAGCACAGACTGAAGGAACTATTCCAGTACCTCAGGATCTCGTGATTCACACAGCAGGTCAGCGCTCATGTGATTAACACACCATGGCAACCACGTCCAGGTTTGTTTGGAATGACACTTTCCACATATTCCTCTTCTCCACGACCTTTGCTGCTTCCTGCAGAAGCGTCGCGGGCGTCACGTAGGAAGCGGTGCAGTTTGACAGCTATGGAGAGGTGCCTTTTGACAGCTACGTAGCAGAGGGGAGCAGCAAGCTATCTGGTTTCAGCACTCACCTTCTGAAAATAACCTCTCTTCATCGAGCTGTCCTTGACTTGCCTGAAGTATACGTAACCAAAGTAATGCGCCGACTCCCTCTGCAAGAGAAACAGTGCTGTTGTGGGCAGCCCAAACGCTGCCATCCACGAGCTCCCTCATTTCAAGCACTCTTTGCCATGGGGGGAGCAAGAAGGAAGGAGAGCTAACAGTACCAAACACAAGGATTGTCCCTCAGGTTGCATCTGGAGGCACCGCTGGCACCAGGATCGAAGCCTTGGTTGTCTTTCCAGTGTTGCTTTTTAACAGAACTCGCTTTGTTGGCAATCTGTCTTTACTGCTTTAGAGACAGGAGCTGTCACAGAATGGCCAGGGTTGGAAGGGACCTCAAGGATCAATGAATTTCCAACCCCCTGACGCATGCAGGGCCACCAACCTCCACGTTGAATGCTAAACCAGGCTGCCCAGGGCCCCATCCAACCTGGCCTTGAACACCTCCAAGGACGGGGCATCCACAACCTCTCTGGGCAGCCTGTTCCAGCACCTCACCACTCTCTGGGTAAAGAATTTCCCCCTGATGTCCCACCTCAATCTCCCCTCCCCCAACTTCAAACCATTTCCCCTCATCCTACACGTATCAACCCTTTCCAAGAGTTGATTCCCCTCCCCTCTGCAGGCTCCCTTTAGGTCCTGCAGGCTGCAATGAGGTCACCCCGCAGCCTTCTTTTCTCCAGGCTGAACAAGCCCAGCTCCCTCAGCCTGTCCTCACAGGGCAGCTGCTCCAGTCCCCTGATGATCCTAGCAGCCCTCCTCTGGCCCCTCTCCAACAGCTCCCTGTCCTTTTTGTACTGAGGGCTCCACACTTGGATGCAGTACTGCAGATGGGGCCTCACAAGAGCAGAGCAGAGGGGGACAATCACCTCCCTGTCCCCGCTGGCCACCCCTCTTTCGATGGAGCCCAGGATTCCATTTGCAACTACTGTCATCCCAGTACTGCAAAGCAGTAAAGATGTACACAAGTTGAAAAAAAAATCTGTAAGGCAGAATTTAGGCAAAGAAATCTTCCTGCTCCTCCTGAGACCCACAGCCCATTTGCTGCTGTACACCACAAACGGATGCAGAAGCGTTGAGGCGCGAGCACAGAAAGCATCACCTCCTGTGAAAGAAGAGGATGAGCTGATCCAAAGGCCTTCTGCTTCAGCAAAGGGAGCAACAGTGCTGAACGCATCCCTCCTTCTGCATGGGACGGGCAGAGAGCCTGCAGCTGGACGACACACAGCTCAGGGATTGGTATCAGTGTTGGGGATGGCTAAAGCAGCCAGCACAGAGCAAGGCAAAGCACAGATGTGGGCCGTGCCAGTTTCCATGTCCTGCACAGGTCCTACGCAAACAACCGCCCTCCCTCAAGCAAGCAGGTAAACATCTCACTCTCCACAGACAAGGATGTTCTTGTTTTGCCTCGCTGTAATGCACAGGCAGCCGTGCACCCCGCTGGATGTCACCTGGGTCCCACTATTTCTCCTTCCCCTCTGCCCAGACAGAGCCACTGCTTTCCTATGGGAGTGATGAGGTGCAGGAACAGCTGCCCAGAGAGGCTGTGATGCCCCATCCGTCCCTGGAGGTGTTGGAGGCCAGGTTGGATGGGGCCCTGGGCAGCCTGGGCTGCTGTGAAATGGGGAGGTTGGTGGCCCTGCATGACGCAGGGGGGTTGGAGCTTCACGATCTTTGAGTTCCCTTCCAACCCAAACCATTCTGTGATTTAACCTGGACTCCTCCTGCTTCAGCTCCACCTCTTGGTGCAGCTGCAGCTCTCAGCATGGCCCTGCACTCATATTACTGCAGGAGAAATCCCTGCGCTGAACGCTTTCTTCTTTTCTGACTCGTCAAGGGAAAACAACCAAAGCAAATGAGTAATTCTAAACCAACCGAGGGCACGTTTGGATTTTAAAGCCAATAGCACTGCTGCTTGCTTCGCAGGGCTACTCAGAGCACCGAAACACAACCGACCTGCAGTGTGAGGGGTGCTTCTCTGTTGTACTCGCCATCGTCCTCATAGTGAGTGCTCCTCTGCCCTCCAGACTGGCGCAGGCGGAAGCTGAACTGAGTGTCCCCAAGGCCACCTGGGCAGAGAGGATCACAGATGTTCAGGGAGAAGTTTCAGCAAGGAGAAAGCAGGGAATAACCCCAATCAAAAGCACAAGACAGGAAGAACTCGTAGCTGAACACAAGGGGCGGCGTCACCGAGTCGCAGCTCAGCAAGTCACTGCTGGGAGGCTCACAGCCGTCCCGTGTGGCTGCAGCCATCATTTCTCACCTTATGCCAAGAAACCTCCCAGCAGCCTTAATTCAGGAGCAAACAAATGCTGACTGAGCAGCAACCCCTTGCACAATGCAGTGAGCATGACGAACACTGCAGCTGGGAACCTCCCAGGTTCTACAGCATTGCTCACCAAGAACTCCACAACAACAAAAAAAGAAAGGGTGTGAAAGCTTGGGAGTGGATAGGATGGGTGGGAGAGCTTGAGGTCAAGCACTGACAAAGAGGTTGGTTGTGAGGAAGGAATCAAACACACCAGAGCTCTCTGAACAAAACCCAAGGCAAAGCAGACTGAGCTGCTACAGAGGGCTAAGGGGCGTAATTCCTTCCAACCACGGCACTGCAAAGATTGCTGTGTTTGTTACAAGGGCATTCCTGCTAGAAAACAATTGGCTTTCATCAAAGGAGCGCTGAGCTTTCCCTAAGCTGTGAGAAACTCGTGAAAGGACATCCAAGAGCATCAGAACTGGGCAAACAGCATTCAGGAGCCAGCCTGAAAGCCAGGAGCATTCATACGAATGAACACAACCACTGCATCCCCTCTGGTTTACAAACACCAGCTTTGGGAACGCCTGCTGCAACAGCATCCCCTCCCCATCTACTCCTTTTCACTGAGCACTCAAACACAGAAATGCTGACAGTCGACAGCTGCAAAATTTGCCCTTTCTGACTCTTTTTTTAATGTATTATTCACATGGGTGAAGCGTGCAAGGTACCAGGAAGGCATCCTGCCACCCAGTGGATCAGAGATCTGTAGCCAGAGAGCAACCAGAAGGACAAAAAGGAGTTCAGATCTCGGGGCTGGGTGCTGCTTGGTGCCGGCGCTGCATCAGGCAATGACTCACTGCTTCCATCATGAACCCATTTCTCTCATAACGGCGACGGAGGGCCCGCAGGGGAGGCCAGCAGATGCCACCTACCTGAGTAGGAGTCAGGGAAGGACAAGTAGCAGATACTGGTCTTCTGCAAGGAGCCAAAAACACAGAGTGAGCAAACCTCCATCGCTGCCGTGCGGTGTTTTTAACAGGAGAAGGAAGGAATGGAGTGCTTACCTCTTTCTCTGTTAATCTGAAGTCATAAGGATACACCAACTGCAAAAGAGATGAGAGTCAGTCAGTCAGTCAGTCAGTCACTGTGCTGCTCTTGCTTTGATTTTTCTGACTCTTGCTAGAAACTCATGGAACAATTCACCAGAAACACCAAGAGAGAGAGGAAAGGTGGCATCCTGAGCAATAAGGAGGGGAGAAGAGAAGCTGGGGGGGCGGTCAGAGTAAGAACAGCTTTGAAAGTGAAGCTCTGCATACACACAGATGGGAAAACAACGTGGGAAACAACATACCCTGCTCACACTGAGTGCCAGCAAGCCTGGCGTGAGGCTCAGCATCTACCAGAGCCGAGGGTGAAACATGTATTTAATGGCTCCGAGCGCCTGGCTGGCCAGAGATGCTGCTCACAGCAACTACAAAGAATAAATGATGGGCAGGAGAAGCCGGAGGGGATGCAGAGCTCAGTTTGAGCCTCGCTGATCTGAAAGCTGCTGTCAGAAAGACGAGGTTTATCGTGCATGGGAAGAGGCAGGCCTGGCACCTCGCGCTTCGTCAGCAATCCGGTGACGGCTGAGCCGTGCAGCACCCTGCTCATCATCCAGCATCTCGGATAAAGGGACCTTCAAGACTTCTGAAGCATCCAGTTGAAGATCCACGGAAATGCTGACAGCGCCAGGCCTGCAATCCGCTGCGACCCAATAAAAAGGAGAACTGAGGGCAAGATTCCTCAGCTCGGGGGTGAGCACAGAGCTGCAGGCGACCAACACCCACAGCAGAAAGGCACACGAGGGGCAAGAAATATCACAGCAACAGCGGCCCTGGGCCGCACGTGGCACCTGGTGAGGAGGGAAACGGTGATACTTACAAATCCATGCAAGTATCCACGCTGCCTTTGTAGCATTTACTGCTCAGAGAGCATAGAATCATAGAATCATAGAATCACCAAGGTTGGAAAAGACCTAAAAGCTCACCCAGTCCAACCGTTCACCTATTCCCAATAGCTCCCACTAAACCATGTCCCTCAACACGACATCCAGCCTTTCCTTGAACACCCCCAGGCTCAGTGACTCCACCACCTCCCTGGGCATCCATTCCAGTGCCTGACCACCCTTTCTGAACAGTAATACTTCCTCATGTCCAGCCTGAATCTCCCCTGCCGTAGCTTGAAGCCATTCCCTCTGCTCCTATCACTAATGACACGAGAGCAGAGGCCGACCCCCAGCTCACTACAACCTCCCTTCAGGAAGTTATAGAGAGCAATGAGGTCTCCCCTGAGCCTCCTCTTCTCCAGGCTGAACATTCCCAGCTCCTTCAGCCTCTCCTCATATGGCCTGTGTTCCAGACCCCTCACCAGCTTTGTTGCCCTCCTTTGAACACGTTCCAGGGCCTCAATATCTTTCTTGCAGTGAGGGGCCCAAAACTGGACACAGCACTCGAGGTGCGGCCTCACTAGTGCTGAATATAGGGGAAATAGCATGGGTGGCTTTAAAGCAGATGAGAAGCAGAGGAGCCCTGAAGAAGTGCCAGCAGCTCTGCTCGAGGTCAGCGTGAGAGCATCTGGAGCTCTGAGAGCTCTGCTCAGCACAGCTCTATAAATAAGGTGGGCGCCCCGCCAGCACGCTGCACTTCTCTGCCGATTCCTTGGCTTCAGAGAGAGCGTCAAACCAACAATTAAAAATTACAAACCAATTAGCTTCGCTGAGACGAGAGGGAGGAGACGATGCGGGAGCAAATTGAGCCCACACGACGCTGAGGTGGGAGCAGGAGGGCTGGAGCACGAAGGGACGCCTCACAGCTGCACCGCAGGGGCAGGCAGGCTCCTCTCTGCACGCTTGCTTCTGGCATGAGGCGACCAAACGCTTCCTCGTGGCTGTGACTGATCTGAAGACTGCAGATAATCAGCTCTGCTAATTGCTGTCTCGTAACGCAGACCTGCACGGTTGATGCTGACCCTTCAGAAGTGCAGCAGCCTCGTGCTGCTCGTGATCCAAACCTGAGCTTGAGAGTCCAGGCAGACTGGAACGGGTTGGCCAGGGAGGCTGTGGATGCCCCAGCCCTGCAGGCATTCAAGGCCAGGCTGGATGTGGCTCTGGGCAGCCTGGGCTGCTGGTTGGTGACCCTGCATACAGCAGGGGGTTGGAACTGGATGATCTGAACAACTCTTGGGAAGGGGAGATGAGAGCAGGACGAGGGGAAATGGTTTGGAGTTGAAGGAGGGCAGATGGAGGTTGGATGTGAGGGGGAAGTTGTTTGCTATGGGAGTGGTGAGGTGGTGGAACAGCTGCCCAGAGAGGCTGTGATGCCCCGTCCATTTGTGGAGGTGTTGGAGGCCAGGTTGGATGGGGCCCTGGGCAGCCTGGGCTGCTGTGAAATGGGGAGGTTGGTGGCCCTGCATTGGTGGGGTGGCTGGATCTTCGTGATCCTTGAAGTCCCTTCCAAACCAAAACCATTCCGTGAGATTTTGTTTTTTAATTAAAAGTTGCATATTCTGTTGAAAGCATTTGCATTATCTGACCTCAATGTTGGCTGAGTATCTGGCTCAAATTATGTCACATCCTTTGTGCAACAGCTCTCCCCCTCAGGGCCAACAAGCCGGGAGGTGACACACGTTGAAGTGTGGCTGTTGGCACCCGCAGTGATCACAGCAACAAAGAGACCAATCCAGACAATGACTCAGGGTGACTCTGCAGCTCACGCAGTGCCCGTGTGTGGGAAAGGGATCCTCCCAAAGCTGTGCTCCCCCTCCTGTTCTGTTATCTCAAATGGACTCTTTGAAGAAAGTGCAGGAGTCAGAATTGCGAAGGATGCTCCGTTTCATGGAATCATAGAATCCTTAGAGCTGAAAGGGAACTCTGAGAGCCATCCGTTCCAACTCCCTGCAATGCACAGGGACAGCACAGCTCCATCAGGCTGCCCAGGGCCTGATCCAGCCTGGCCTTCAAAGCCTCCAGGGATGGAGCTTCAACCACGTCTCTGGGCAAGCTGTGCCACTGCCTCACCACCCTCCCTGTGAAAGACTTTTTTTTCCTTGGATCCAACCTAAATCTCTGCACACTTGAAGCCATTTCCCCCTGTTCTACCAACACAGACCCTGCTTGAGGGTCTGTCCCCTCCTCTGAAGACACTCTAGAGTATCAATCCCAGCACTGACCCCTGTGGGACACCACTCATCACTGATCCCCATTCAGACGTTGAGCCACTGGCCATCACTCTCTGCACTCGACTCTGCAGCCAGATCTTCATTTCTGCATTATGTTTTCCTTCGTACACCCTCGAAATACAGGAGTCAGGACTTTCTGGTTTTCAGAGCACAAGTCATGTGGGCATAAGTCATCTCACAGGAGCTGATAAATGGGAGGAGAACAGCTTGATACACAGGCAAAGAATGACAGGACATGGGGGAACGGCTATAAACTCTAGAAGGGGAGATTGGGGTCAGACGTGAAGGGAAATCTTTTCCCCAGAGGTGGAGCAGCCCTGGCACTGCTGCCCAGAGCTGTGGGTGCCCCATCCCTGGAGCTGCCTGAGGCTGTGGATGGGGACCTGGGCAACCTGAGCTGGAAGTGAGCACCACGGTGGGGCTGGGAGACCCCTTCCAACCCAATCATTCTATGATTCTAAGATACTTCTAGTCCTGAGATGTCCCCTAATTATTACCATTGTGATGCCTGCTTCGTCACACACAGATTTACACCGATGATGCAACCTCCAGTCAGCAAGGTTTCCTCTGCCTCACTTTGCAGTGTGAGGTGCTGCAAAGCACTCCCAGCACTCACAGCCTGTTGCTACAGACAGCACCTGTGAACCCGCAACACCAACACCAGGCTCTGACAAGCTCTGACCTCAGCCAATATCATCCACAGCCAACTTCCCCTGCAGGCTCAGTCAGGCCCAAGTCCCACAGGGTGGTGCCACAGAACCATTTCTCAAACCCAAAAACGTGCAGCCCAGAGGCCCTGATCACTGAACGGCCTCTTCACCGCTGCAGCCACAGTGTCCAGACCTGATCTAAACAACAGGGAAACAGGATAAGCAGAAAGATAACAACAGCACTGGATGGCTGGCAATGAATCCTCCAGTATAGTGGTAGGCAGACAAGAAAATGGGTAAGAAAGTCCCTTTGTGGGCCTGCAGGCATTCAAGGCCAGGCTGGATGTGGCACTGGACAGCCTGGCTGGCGACCCTGCACATAGCAGGGGGGTTGGAACCAGATGATCATCCTGCTTTGGCAGGAGGGTTGGACTTGAGGATCTCTGGAGGTCCCTTCCAACCCCTACGACTCTGTGATTCTGTGATCTTTGTGATCCTTTTCAACCCAGGCCGTCCTATGATTCTACGCAGTATGAAAACACAGCTGCGAAGTAAAGGCTAATAGTCACCCCATTATTATTATCCTGGTATCTGTACTCTTTCCAGGCAGATGCCTGGTCTGACTCGACAGGACAGATCGCAGGTACACGCTGGACTTCAGTCTGTAGCAGGTGCCACCTTCAGGCCTCGCATCCCCACAGATGGGCAGCACTCCCCGTTCACTCCTTCAGAAGCTTCAGAGCACAGAACGGCCCCATCCTTTGGGGATCAGCAGCAGCAGCTCTCAGACACTTCTCTCCCCGCAGGGATAAAAGGAAACGGGAAACCCGCCGCAGCGCTGCCGGTTCGGCCCTCAGCATCGCTCCCCCCTCACGTTCCCCGGCCCTCAGCCGTCAAACACGGCGCGGCCCAACCCGCTTCCCGTTCAGCTCCCCGCCATCCCTCTTAGGCCCACCGTTCCCTCCTCGCACCTCCATGGCCTGGCCCAGCTCCAGATCGAAAGTGACCACGCAGACGCAATCCAACCATGCGGAGAAGCGGGACCAAGGCAGCGGAGACGCGGCTGCGGGTCGGCGGGGCCGGGGTTCGGCCCGGCATAGCGCGTCCATGGCAGCGCCCGCTCCGCCCGGCCCGGCCCGGCCCGGCCCTCAAAGCTCCGCCCAGCCGAGCCGCGCTGCGCCCCCTTGCGGTTTGGAGGACTCACGCACAGCCCGGCCCATTCGCGCCTACCATAGAGACGGCTCCGGAGGAGCAGAGCGGCCCGCGGCGGGGTGTCATGGCGGTTGTTACCATGGAAACGGGCTGCTGCCCTGCGGCCTGTCCCGCTCCTTGGGCTGGGCAGGATGGGAACTGCTGGAGGGAGATGATAGAATCATAGAATGGCCTGGGTTGAAAAGGACCACAACGATCATCCAGTTTCAACGCCTTGCTGTGTGCAGGGTCACCAACCAGCAGCCCAGGCTGCCCAGAGCCTCATCCAGCCTGGCCTTGAATGCCTGCAGGGCTGGGGCACCCACAGCC